GGCAAGTTGGATTATTCCATTCAGACATCAGTTTCGGGAAAAAACTGGCATTATATAACTGAGTTCTTGGTATAGGAACATCAAAAATTCTATTGTGGCGAAGATGATAATTGTCAGTATTATCATTAATGTACGGTTGAATTATATCATAGACATGAGAGGGACATTTCCTATTATATATTTTATAAAAAGTAATATTTTGATGCAAATGTCTTCTTCTATTAAGTGTTATAAAACCAGATTCTCTATATAAGATAGCATGACTTGTTCCACGTCTTAACCCTAAGATAATACGTGCTGCTTCTAGTTGGATAGACTCCAAGACACTGCATTCATTCTGCGTGCAGTTTGCCCATATAATATTTGCATATTCCAGAATTGGACGTATAAATGTGATATATATAGTTTCGAGTGATTTTCTATCAATTTTGTATTTCAACATTCTAAGTATATTAATTCTTTTATAAGCTTTTTCGTATATATAGTTTATGTGGTTAGACCAATTAGCCTTGCTGTTGAAAAACAAACCTAGGTGTTTATGATTAGAAACATTAATAATTGATGATTCATCAAAATATAGGTTAGGATGCAGTGTCTCAGAGTCAACCCGCCTCGAGAAGAGCAGGGCTACAGTTTTATCTGGATTAAAGATAATTCCCCATGTTCTAGCCCAGATTGAAATTTTCCTCAGATCATCATTTAATATATTAGCACATTCTTGCCTGTCTCCCTCAATGAGACCATATAAGGAGGTATCATCAGCAAATAGTTTGAAGTTTGAGGCCAATTCATCACCAATATCATTAATATATAGTAAAAACAAAAAAGGACCAAGGACTGAACCTTGGGGTACCCCTGCCTGTAATGTTTTCCAGTTAGACTTATACCCATCTATGACCACTCTCTGTTGCCTATCATGAAGGTATGATGTAAACCATTCTAACATATTATTACATATACCATATTTTTTTAGTTTATAAATTAGACCGTCATGCCAAACTCTGTCAAAGGCTTTGCTAATATCACAGAAAATCATTCTGGCCTCTTTGCCTTTGTCTAAATGTTTTACAATTTCATCGTATATAATTAATAGCTGATACACTGTGGAATCCTTAGGTAAAAAGCCTGACTGATTCTTAGAAATAATGTTATATCTTGAGAGGTAATTGAACATATACTTAAAAACATTTTTTTCAAATAGCTTGCTAAATATAGGGGTAACAGATATTGGTCTATAGTTGGATGGATCACTTTTATCTCCCTTGCCCTTATAAATTGGGGTAACATGAGCATTTTTCCATCTATTTGGTAGCTTTCCGGTAGAAATAGATTTGTTGAATAAGAGATAGAGTGGTTTCACAAGAGATTGGGAAACCCCTTTAATGAATTTTGGAGGGATACTATCAGGGCCTGAAGGTTTATTAGTATTGAGTAGATCGAGCTGATCAAAAATGTCCTGTTCGGTTATGTCTATTGTTGAAAAGTTATGTCGGGGTCGGGGGCAGTCAGGAGGTAAATCGTCAGCATTCTTTTCAGTTACGGAAATCGAAGTGAAATAATCGTTAAAATATTCCGCCTTATCTATGGGGTGGATTTTCAGTTCGCCGTTGATAATCAATGGAGAGTCATATTCGTTTTTGTTTTTGAGATTCATAACCGATTTTGCAATACGCCACCATTTTCCAGAGGGTATGGTTTTATCAATTAAGGAATATTGAAGTTTAGATAAATATTTTTTTTAACCCTTCCCGGACTAAGGATATAACTTCATTCCGAATAGATCTAAATGTTGCCCAAGAAAATGGAGTATTATGTAGCTTATAGCTTTGGAATGCTGGCGATTTCTTTGTCTAATTTTATCATTAGGTCTTATAGTTACTGTTTTATGGGGCACGAATAGGTCGATAGCAGTTAGGATTTTATCAGTTAAAAGAGAGTTTATATTTTCAATATCACCTTTTGATAAAAGATTCCAGTCAATGGACTTAAGATACTCATTTGCCCCGTCAAAGTCAGTGTTATTGAAGTATAATAAAGTCTTTTTATATGCATGTTTCTTTAAAGTTTTAAATTTCAGATCAGCGCTTACTGGACAGTGATCACTACAAGAGGGAGGATGTACTATTGTATTTTTAATAAATTTAACGTTGTTTGTTAGTATAGTGTCAAGTGATGTTGAGGTCTGGGAAGTAATCCTGGTAGGTTCAGTAACAGTGTTTTCTAACCATATTTCAACACAATTCTATGTAGATGTGAGTTTGGATTTAGATGTAACATGTCTTGATTTATATCACCTACCAGGACTACTTCCCTTTACAATCAATAATATTATTTAGGTTAATATCTAGCATGTCCCAGTAGCCAACGAGAGAGTTAGGGGGTCTATATATACAACCAAGAAAAATAGGTTTATTATGGGTAGTTACTTCAGTCCATATTAATTCAAGATTATCTGTCTCAAGGTCAGGTCTACGTTTAATATTAATATTATGTTTAGTATAATTCAGATCTCCGCCACCATAATTATCTCTATCCTTTCTAAAAATATTACCAAAGTTTTCCAAAGATAGGTGGATGTGGGAGTTGGGTGGACCGGGGTTCAGGTGAATATCACCGCATATGGATAATATATATAATAAAATAAAAATGTAGTGCAAATTCAGAGAGAATAGATTCAGAGAGACACTAACGATACATAAACATTTATAAAGTAGTGAGTCATTCCCTGCCGTTACAGCACCAAGGTAGTTGTTGTAGAAAATACATCCTGGTAGAGTAAGAGCAGAGAATGACACAGATAGGTTTTAAGAAAAATACACGGGATATAACAATATTTAAGTTTTGTAAACAAGATTGACATGTATAACTGTTTATATTCTGAAAACACAATTTGCCTTGGCGAAGTTAACACATTGACAAATGAGAACAAAAAACAACATAAAAATAGATGATAAACATAAACATTATTTACATTAAAATTTAGGATCCATATAAAAAATGACTGTGATACAAAAATGAAATGTAAGAAAAAACAGTTGTATAAATATTGAGTGACCCGCCTCACTGACCGCATACCGTATGCTAGTTACACGATAGACCTGGCGCTACCTGTTGAGAGTAGAACCATCCTACATAACATCGCATGCATTTTCACGAACTCGGGGGTCAGTGACACGGATCAGCCGGTATCCTTCCAATTTACGTATTTGATCGGATGGTACAGATTATTTATATTACGAATGAAGTGTGAAGCTATCGATCATTAAATTATACATTTTCTGTAATGAATTATTATGATACATTATATTAACTAGCGCATATGGCAATAAGTCACCAAAACTTAAGAGTGCAATAATGTTATTAGGAACAATTTATAATAGGTATAGATAATATGCTATCGTTCTTCATGTTCAATAGACAGCAATTCATGTCCAAATTTAAACGTGGCATTAAAAAGTTGTTTACAAATCCTGCGTGTATATATAAGGTTGTGAATATGCTACTACCCTGCGGCATGTATTTGACGGTAAGGATACATGTACCTGACCGCATAAACGCATCTGTAATTAACATAAACCTACCTACCTACATGTACCTACACCGCACATCAATTACAAGTAACACTGAATCACTGGTTTCTGAATAATGTATGATTCTTGTTAATAAACTGATACCTTCACAAACGATGTTACTCTATCAATTGATATAATCTCTACTGAGTATGAACATTTTAACTTTCACAGTTAATACCTTTAATCAAAATAGTTCTGTATAATGTATGATTCTTGTCAATAAACTGATACCTTCACAAACGATGTTACTGTATCAACGGATAGAATCTCTACTGAGAATGAACATTTTATGATTTTAGGTGATTTGATAGTTGAATTTTTCTAATAAAAAACAGTTCAAAACTCTCTTGGACTTCTGCAATATTTTTGTGATTTATTAACAAAATTACAGAAGCTATTTGTTTTGTGAAGGAGTGTGTCCCATCTACCATACTCTCTTTTTATAAACCTGTAAATTTCACCTGTAGTTTAAGCGATTGCCACAAATTAATTGGAATTGTCATTAAAGGTACAGCACATTTCCCGCCTAACGGTAAAAGTAATGATCGTAGTTTTCGAATCTTTGAACAACGTTTTTATCTCTGATGTATAAAAGCTGCTTTTCCATGCAGCTTATGTGTTGATGTACATATACCTGCCAGTAAAAAAACTAATAAAGCGCCTTTTATTAATTGAAATATTTGAAGAAAACTATGTTGCGCAACAGATATAATCGCATGGAAACGTCTTCCAACTGGGAACTGTGAGCTTATAATCCATCTGGTAGGGGGACCCCCAACCTATGGACGGCTCTGCAAAATCCAGTTTTATGTATGATATATATTGTTTTTTAAATTCATCCTATTTTTATAACCCATAGTAACCTTATATTGCAGGGGTTCGTCACAATAGTGGTATGTTAGGTGGATCCCCAACTGTATAGTAGCTATTTGGCATTTCCTTGACATAGCTTACATGTACTTGTAAAAGTAATATATAGTATTGGTTTGTGTATTCGGTAATGATATAGTAGTTATATTTAATAGCTATTACTGGAGTTGGGGATTATCACGTATTCAGTAGGCTAGTTGTCATGCCTAATTATACGTTTGTTCTATTACTAGAACATAAATAATATTGTTGAACATAGTAGCCCTGTACTCTATGCAAATAGATACAAATTGATTCTTAATATTAATAGGCTATAATATGTAAATAAGTACCTGGACAGGTGGAAGGTTATCAGGCATGGTCAAATATAATATTATTTTCTGGTCACTAGATTCCCTTTTACACTATTGGTCTAGAACAATAGCCTCATCGTTTTCAGATTCAAATCTATAATAGTCTCAGAATTACTTGAGAAATGCCAGGCGTCATTTTATAAACCCCGGAAGTATGTAACCAAGATAAATAATACGGGTACGACAGAGTCTTCCCGCGCGCGCATTGCGTCACGTCACAGGTAGTGGGAATCCGTGCTCCACGGATTCCACGTCTACCCGTGACCACCCTTACCTGACACGTCACCCGACCCACACACTCCAGCTATCACCCGTCGAGAGAGGAGCTCTCCATTGCACGTTACCAAGCATCACCCCATAGTCCCTGGTAAGTCTGTGTTTTATCATTACTTCATTCCATATCTATGTATTCATATTCATGTCATTGTAAATAAGTGTATATGATAGTGTGTGTACAGCGAGAGTATATATATACCTGTTACATATTATTACTACAGGTTCCCTTGTACCCATCATCGTCATCTACATTATTGAATAAAGACATCAAAGTATCATCAAATAGTCTCGAGTTCTACAAATGGATAGAATCTCTACAGAGTATTAACCTTTTATGATTTTAGGTGATTTAATCTTTGATTTTTTCTAATGTAAAACAGTTCAAAACTCTCTTGGACTTCTGCAATATTTTTTTGATTTATTAACAAAATTTCAGAAGCCATTTATTTTGTGAAGGACTGTGTCCTATTAAACCTACTCTCTTTTTATAAACCTTTAAATTTTACCTGTGGTTTATGCGATTGCCACAATTTAATTGGAATTGCCATTAAAGGTACAGCACATTTCCCGCCTAATGGTAAAAGTAATGATCGTAGTTTTCGAATCTTTGAACAACGTTTTTATCTCTGATGTATAAAAGCTGCTTTTCCATGCAGCTTATGTGTTCGACGATACTGATGATATGTATTGAGCACATGAGAAACTTATGCCAGAAGTAATTGTTGTACATATACCTGCCGGTAAAAATGAAAAGAATAAAGCGCCTTTTATTAATTGAAATCTTTTAAGAAAGCTATGTTGCGCAACAGATATAATCGCATGGAAACGTCTTCCAACTGGGACATTTACTGACAGCAAGGAAATGACGTAAACAACTCCGTAGACAGTCTGTAGGGCCATGTGTTAATTAACGTTGTAGTGATGGCGCAGTTTCTAAAGATTTTTGGCCTGCAGTTAAACCTTTTTTATCTAATAAATGTGTTGGTGAATTTTCTTAAAAGAAAATGACTGCATTGTGTCTAAGTAAAATGACGATTGTGATGTTTTTGACCTTTTCTCAAATGTTGCATGTTATGTAATGATATTAGAAAAGATCCTGAGGGTGTTTCAACTTTAACAAAACCCGGAAGTGTTGTAAATATTAATACTTTTATTTACCCAGAAAAAAAAAAGAAGAAAAGTATCCTTTTATTTTCAAACATGTGGAAGAAAAAGATGTGAAAAAAGCTTTTCTTGTTTTGGAAGTAAAAAAGCAGCAGGTTTTGACGGTATATCAGCTAAGGTTTTATAAGCTGATAAGGGAGCTTTTATTTCTGTAATTACCTCCCTTTTTAATCACTGTGCCACTGAGTCTCGATTCCCAGATGTTTTGAAGAATGCCCTGATCTAAAAAAGCAAGCATTTCCCCTCACTATCGAAATGCTTTGAAAGAATTATGCCTGATCAGCTCGACTGACGTCAACCTCATTAATATACAACAAACGTGGCACGATGACTGCGAAAAACTTTGAAACTTTGAAATGGTGTGTTTTTGGAGGAAACGGAGATTATGTCCGCGGAAGGGGAATACAGTTTACGTGTATATGGGAACGGTACCAAGCATTTTCCGTAGATCAACTAGAAATGTTGTTTTTGATGCAAGAAAGTTAAGTGGAGTCGACTTTTCGACATCGAGAGCTTTCCACCCTTTTCGTATATATGATCATTGGGGTGTCATTTGTACCGAAAATTGATCTTAACCCATAAAACATTTAAAAGTACACTGAACACCTTCGTGACCTGCAGTAGACCTCCGGGGTTGGCGGGGAGCTATCTATCTCTGGCTTGTACATCTGGTTAACCTTATCGTGGGGTGGCGGAGAGCTATCTGTCTCTGGCTTGTACATCTGGTTAACCTTATCGTGGGTTGGCGGAGAGCTATCGGTCTCTGGCTTGTACATCGGTTAACCTTATCGTGGGTTGGCGGAGAGCTATCTGTCTCTGGCTTTTACATCTGGTTAACCTTATCGTGGGTTGGCGGGGAGCTATCTATCTCTGGCTTGTACATCTGGTTAACCTTATCGTGGGTTGGCGGAGAGCTATCTGTCTCTGGCTTGTACATCTGGTTAACCTTATCGTGGTCTAAGATACATGGTGTCTCCTTTTAAGTTAGTTCGTTCAAAAGTCAACTATCATTTTCTCGGGCAAACCGGTCAGCTGCATTTATTTCATCGCAATCACCAATGCCCTTTCACAATCACCAGTGCCCTTTCACAATCACCAGTGCCCTTTCACATTCAAAAACAGTTTGCTTCCACGTTACTTGGCAATCAAGTTTTTGTTGAGTGACGACTTTTGCAATAGCAGATGTTCTGTTGCCAGGGAGAAAAACCGCGTATACGCACGTACGGATCAAACACATCATCCCTCCCTTGCACACTGACTGTAAGATTTTAACACAAACTGTTCGATAACTTGTTAAAAGTGTCCATGATTCGACTAAAAATAACATGGAGGTTAAATCGTTTGAAATGTTGTGGTTTTTTCATATCGAGGACAAAAAGATTTTTTTCTTGATTCCCTGATTCTGGCTACGTCATCAAGCGTTAAGACTCAACTTCAAACATTTTTTGATTACTATCTTATTTCCATTTTGACTCCCTTACTTGTATGTAAACCGTGATCGAGTTTTAACAACTTGACCACTTTCCGTAGGAATTTCCGGGATTTATCCGTGGTAGACATACTTTCATTATGTTGTGAAAAAATGGATGTTCTGTTTCATTATTTTAATGTAATATACAGTTATTCTTTATCTGTTTTCTTCTATGTTTTGAAAAAGGTGCGTGCTGCTCTGAAAATTCGAATTTATTTTGTCCATACTGGTGACATAATTTATAGTGTTTAAGAATATCTGTAAGCCAGTTATTTGATTATTGTTTCATAGTGACTGTTTATCTCTGTTATATATTGTGATATGTAAATGTTCCTGTATCGATAAAAGGGCGGATCGCCCTGAAAATTTGACAAATTTCTTTGGCTTCACTGTCGTTATTACTTCTTTTCCCATAAGCCAGTTATTTAAAAATATAATTGATTGTTTTTAGATTTGTTTGATTTATGCGGCAACAAAAGACAAAAGCTTGTAGTCCATTGGCATATCAATACATTCCACAGCAACATTTGACGATCAGAAGTATGGTTATTTGTTATCTTATTGTCGAGCTTTGTCCCTCGGATAGTATTTGTCAGTATCGGGGCGAGATAAGGAGACCTTTCTTAAAGTTAGAACATGATTTCCGGGATTTATGTTAACTGAAAACAAACAATATGACAGTATGATCATTATGAACAACATCGTGTTGAGTAAACGAAACACATATAGGACTGATACACGTGATAGGTAGAATACCGTTCTACACATTGACCTGCAAAATCTGTAAAAATGAAAGTCATTTCATTTTTGTTTTTATGGAACTGATTATGATACCCCCTGTCACACATCTTAGTATAAAAAATGGTATTAACGAGCTGTATTAAGTAAATATTAGTAAAATTGGGAATGTTGAAATAAAATTCCGTCTTTCATTTTCATTTTCACAAGCTATACATCTACGATCAAATAAAGTAACAACTGTCAAAACCTCTTTACTAGTAAAGCAGCTTGGCGTCGTAATCAGCCTCCACATTTGACACAAAATATAAGTTAAACCCAATACCAACTTCGAAACAGTTCAAATGATAAATTTCTATTTTTATGTTTTTTGTTTTTTTTGTGACAGGTTATCACACCAATCCTGGGCCAAAGCCTGATCAGATTTTTGAAAGATCACCAAATATTGACATTTTTCAAATTCAAGTTTAAGACAAATAAAAGTCAATATTCATATGCGACACAACATACAATATTTAACGTACACATGCTTTCATTTGGCTTAATTTTATATTGGTTGATTATTGTCACAGTGATACACTATACACATACATATGATTATAAAAACACCTCACTCCATCACATAATCAATATTTGCAGTGAAACTTCAATATATACAAAGTTCCTTTCCCGATGCTGTATCTCACCGATTCCGGAGCCACGGTTTTCATGCGATATCATCTGCTGATGTCGTGGTACATTTTGTATGATACAAACTGTAGTCGCAGTGTTCTGTCACTGGTGCATCCATTTTGTAGGAATCTCAATGTGGAACAAAAGTCTGGGCGTTGGTCGTCTTACCCACAATCCACCTTCGGCTCGGAGTCTATAAAGACCAGACGGGGTCTATGAGCCCGTGGACCCATCCTAACCCAGAGATAACTACTGTTGAGTACAGTATGCCTGCCTGTCATGTGACAACCCTTTTAGCTGCTGATCTTGCTTTAACGACACTTTCAGAGGCGTTAATCTACCGCGGCTAGGGTTCGTTGTGCCAGCATCAGGACATCAGGAGAGCTTGGCTAGAGTTAACCAGATGAAAGGGAAACTTTTAAACTATGAATACAAGAATATCAATAAGTATCTGATATTATTTCACTGCTTTTATATATAATGAGACAAACTAAACAGATAAATATTGGACGATTTCGAGGCTTTAAAAGCCAATCTTAGTGAATTACAACAATTTTATTTTTTCACGAACCCACTGGTTTAAGGTAACCAATCATTGAGCAAATGGGCCTGGTAGTCAAATGTACTGACTTTGAAAGGGGTCTGCTATCTGCCCGTCTTGTAAGTTATAGAAGTAAACTTACAAAAACAAGTAATATCTCACTCTTCTACGTCAATATCATGAGTAAAGTCTAAAAGATCTTCACTTTTTTATTAATTATATATGCATTGTAAGCATATTTAATGAGTGATTACTAGTTACTCCCATACATGTTCCGTTAATATAGCAAACAGGTTCTTTTTTAAGGTCTGAATACAAATTCTACATTAATATCTGGGAAAAAATATGCAACGATCACCATGTCTACGGGCTTTATCAGTATATCTATCTTGCGTGTACTCAGAGTAGCTCACAAATATAATGGTAGATCTAGACTTCCAATAAGTATTCTACCAGAACAATACCAAAGTAATAATCTACCAGAACAATACCAAAGTAATATTCATCCAGAACAATACCAAGGTAATAATCTACCAGAACAATTCCAAGGTAATATTCTACCAGAACAATACCAAGGTAATATTCTAGCAGAACAATACCAAGGTAATATTCTACCAGAACAATACCAAGGTAATATTCTACCAGAACAATACCAAAGTAATATTCTACCAGAACAATACCAAAGTAATATTCTACCAGAACAATACCAAAGTAATATTCTACCAGAACAATACCAAGGTAATATTCTACCAGAACAATTCCAAAGTAATATTCTACCAGAACAATTCCAAAGTAATATTCTACCAGAACAATCCATCATTTAGTGACTCGTCATGCAGGAGCCACAGAGAGCTCCGCCCATCGGCAAGCTACATCTAAGAATCACAGCCATACGGGTACATACGAAGTGGAGTTTATCATCGACAAATAGTGGTAAGGCATGTCCTGCTATTGTCTTAATATGTATGCAATGCATGTTGATCAACATTTATCCTTACATACTTTACCAATAAACGATATGGCACTAAACTGCAATATAGATTTCCCTGTTATGGCTTAAAACACTGAATACATCAAAAAACATTTTAACAAATTTTAGTTTCTAGCACCGATACTAGACACCGGTTGTATCTTACTTAAGCATTGAACTGTTTTTTATGGTATTTATGATCTATTTGAATGACACCTTTGCAAGCAAACAACATAATGACTTATTTGCTTGCAAAGCTGAGTCATTCAAATAGATCATAAATGCCATACATAAACAGTTCAATACTTGTATTTCAGTTTTCGCTGCCTCTTATGTTCTTTTTTAACTTATAATTTATATTCAAAATTAAAAGATATGTCTATAGGGTGATTTAAGTTTATTGATAAAACTCTGAGCTGAAAGTTAGATTTGAAGTTGTTTTGATTTTCCCCCGGAACAAATCGCGCATGGACAAATACAGTGAACACCGTAAATTCGACCTTGTCCTCCACGAGGGAGTTATTTTTGGAAGTTAATCTAAACTTTTCTCTTTGCTCATTTTGTGTATTTGTTGATTGTATGGGAACCTGACAGCAGTCGGTAGATTCTATAACATCCTCGTTATTTGACATGTCGTCAGAAACTGAGGAATGGTGGATGCGAGACGCATGAAACTGATAGCGTTTTAAGTGAGTGATCTTGCGACGGAGCACAGGTTCGTTACAAATGTCTGAAATGTTTATGTGTGCTGTACGTGACTTATATCAGTAGGTCTGTGACAAATGTGTCAGTAGGTCTATAGAATATGTGTATTTCAGACATTTGTAACGAACCCCTGTTGATCAGTGCAGTGTAATAGACGATATTTCTGATAAATTGCATGAGCGTTAAAATTGTTTCCATTGCCGGCATTGGTGATTTCAACCGATGTGCAATTTGTACGATATTGCAGACATTGGTCTTGTTTTGGTTGTAATAAAATTATTTATTTTTTTATTTTGCACATAAATTTACAATCGTATTTTCAAATCTCACAATGCCCAGCAATATTTCAGCAGCCGTCATGTTTATTTATATTGGATATTGTAGTTCACGGGCAGTGTTGTATTAATACGCTAAGAATTGTGTCTCGTGATGCATGGTAATTAAAGTCCCTGGATCTCAAAGGACAATTGCCATGACTAACAAATGTCACTCAAAATAATCACTCTATTTTTATTTTGTAAAGTTACTTACCTACATAATAATGTGTTGTAACAGCAGCTAGGACCTAGGCCTCGAACTGTCCGGGTGTGTTTTTGGATACTCCAGAAATCACCCACCGACCTAGATAAAGTTATTCTAATAAATTTGTAGTTGGACCACATACAACGTCCCAAGAACTTTTACTTTCAAATTGTGTAATAACTCCCTATAAAAGTATTGTTATAGTATACTCGTTTATATTGCAGTCATCAGATAAAAATGCGATGGAAGATTGCATTGGCGATATTACCATTGACGGGATTGCTATACGTCATCTGTACCTATAATAGTAAGTAGCATACACAAAATGTAGCACAATATACACACTCAAATGTTGTTAAACAATGAGGACAAACACAGCATATATCTATGACCTTCAAATGTGTCGAGGTCACATTAATAACAAACTTGATAACAAACAAACTAACATAACTGGTGTATTATCATTATAAAATATTGAAATATAATATTAATAACTTTTATCAAAGTGGGTCACAGTCATTTATTTGTTTTACCTGACTATCTCAGTATGCTTCTAACAAAATAGTACCATGCTAGACCCTAAGAGGTTTTAGAAAAATGGATACAGTGATATACTTTCACAAATTTTACTGTTACGAGAGAGAAGAAGTCATTACTCATAAGAGATTATTACGTTAGACCCAACGAGACGTCCAAATTCTCTATTTACTTTAAGTCCTTTGACGTTTTATTAAAAATAATGACTGTTAAAAAGAATGCATTGCACAATGTTTAATACAAGAGAATCAATAAAAATGCAAATGAATTTGCAAGCTAACGTATATTTCCGAACCGAACTTCTTCAGTTGAATAGTATTGGGCAAATTCAGTGAATAAATTTTCAGCGGATACAATATGTTACATTTGGTGTTTTGATTAGCGTTTGTCAATGTTACCGAACAAAGATTTCAACAAAACAGACTATAACTGATAGGCAATAGAACAAAACAGATTATAACTGAAAGGTAATAGAACAAAACAGACTATAACTGATAGGCAATATAACTAAACAGTCTATAACTGATAGGTAATAGAACGAAACAGACTATAACTAATAGGCAATAGAACAAAACAGACTATACCTGATAAGCAATATAACTAAACAGACTATAACTGAGAGGTAATAGAACGAAACAGCCTATAACTGATAGGTAATCTAACGAAACAGACCATAACTGATAGGCAATAAAACAAAACAGACTATAACTGATAGGTAATAGAACAAAATAGACTATAACTGATAGGTAATAGAACAAAACAGACTATAACTGATAGGCAATAGAAATTTGCCCCAAAAATGGTTCACGACTGCAATCTATTCATTTGTTCAGCAGGAGTAGACCTTTTCAGAGATGGTTGACTTAGGACGGTTATTTTCTTTCGTGTCCACGGTGTATGTAGGTTTTCACTGTTAGGGAGTCACCTGCTATCTATTTAACCAAGATTTATTTAGCGGATTTCGTCCATGACGCAAAAGACGCTTACATTTCCGATATATCTGTCTTACTCCCCTTGCACTCTTTACAATGCTCTCTATATGTCTTTTTTAAGAATTTGCTTAATTTTTCGTGTTTGAGTCCGAATTACATTTTTGTTGACACTTCAGTATTCTGTGGTTGGTATTATTCCTTGATCAATATTGTTTTCTGTTATTTCTATTATACTTCTAACTAGGAGAGTTTGAAGTGTAAGTCCTCAAATGAAAGCATACTCCCGAGTTGTTATTTCGAGATAATTCTAATGTAGGCAAAAGTGAATATTTCCCTGATAAATACCACAATCATTTGAACAATTATTTCCACCAAGAATTTTAAAATATGAAGATGAATTCGAAAACAATTATTTATTTTGAAATGAGTCAACAAAATTGCAGCGGTTTTGAAAAGGGCAAGGAACTATGGAAATTTAACACTAGTTTACTTTATGATAATGAGTATGAGAAGAAGGTAAAAGATACAATTGAACGTATAAAGAAACAACATGCAGATAGTACATATGACGGCAATATAAAAGACATTGACAATAACGATATTAGATGTTCAATTGATGACCAAATTTTCTTCGAAACTGTTCTGATGGAAATTGGAGGCACAAGTATTTCTCATGCAGTACATAAGTCAAAAACTAAAAAACAACACCAAGAAAATGAATCAATGGAAAGTACAAATAGGATAGAATCTGAAGACAATTTAGCAAATACAAATGTACATTTGATGTTTTACACTAAAACAAAAAGAAAATTAGAATACATCACACAAACCAAAATGAAAGGACATATCATTAGATCTAAGTTAACTGGATCGAAGAGGAGGGAAAGGCTACACAATACTTCTGCAGTCTATAATCTAGGTCTTTTACTAACAAAACAATATATAAACCAGAAAAAGTTAACGAAGAGATGATTACTGAACAAAATGGAATCCTGAAAGAAATAGAAACATTTTACACAAAACGTTACAGTGAACAGTCTCAGGGTATATAAGATGTTGATCCCGACAACTTACTTAATGAATTTGATTTGAACAATTTAACAGAGAATCGAAAGGAAACTTTCGAAGGAAAATTAACAGAAGAAGAGCCTGGAAAAGCTTTAAAAATATGAATAATTGTTGATCCTCTGTAACAGATGGCTTTCCTGCAGTCTTTTAAGCTCGCCGGGTCCAAAGGACCAATGTGAGCTTATGCCATACCGTGGCGTCCGTCGTCCGTACGTCGTCCATACGTCGTCCATCGTCCGTCCGTCAACAATTTCTTTACACGACTTCTTCTT